TTAGATAGTTGACTTATTTGAGTGTTTTTACCGTGTCCAGGCCGAAGGCCTGCGGCATGGTTATAAAATGCAGCGACTTYATTTTTTTTCCACGTTACAGTTTAGCAATCCCAAGGGACCCATAATTCAGAGTTCCAAGGTTCGATCGAGCACTTCTGAAAAATACTTTTTTTCTTTCTTTCTTTTTTTAGCTGAAATGCAGGTGTTCTAGTCATGTAAAATTTTTATCGTAGCAATTTGTTTTATTAATATTTACTAGCCGAGTTTGTTAAATTTTAGAAACAAGACGATACAGCGGCGTCGAACAGAGGATCGCGGGTTCAAATCTCGTCTCGAGCACTTTTTTTTCTTTTATTTTAAATATGATATAGTTGTTATAGTCATGTTGATTTTTTTCTGTAGATATTCGTTTAACAATTATTTTCGAGCAATTATTTTGATTTTTTTAGACACAGACTATAGTACTCGAATAGCGTTGAACTTAGGATCGGGGGATTAGATTCTCGACTCCATCACTTCTAAGTTGTTCTTTTTTCTTTCCTTATTTTTACTGAATTATACTTATTCTTATTTTTCCTGTAGATATTTGTTTTACATAATTTACACGCAAGATCATACTTGTATAGCGGCATTGRACAGACAATCTCGGGTTTGATTCTCGACCTTCTAAACAATTTTTTTTCTTTCATTCTTTAACTTTAAAATATGCTTGTTCTTTTTTTCTTTCTAAAATCATTTTATGCAAACTTAACTTTTATCTYATAAATTCTCTGAGGATAATGTGAATGCAATCTAAATGCAAAATCTTCGCTGCAGTGATAAAAATATTCAAAAAAATGATGTGAAAAGATCATATAACGCAACATCTATCAAGTCGATCGCGGCGCTGGTAAAAATATACATTAGCGTAACCTGGACACTGTATGTTCCACCAAGTGGTTCTTGTTTTATTTTGAATTTGAAGGTATGAATTTTATAATGTGAGATTTGATATCTGATACCCATGTTATGATAACTTCAAAATAAAAATCTTAATGTAAAAACATTCATTTTGAGACTTTTTTTACCTGACTATGTGATGAATAATATTGCATTAAATAACTACTATATATAGAAATACCATAAATGTGATATTTTCAGCAGTTAAAACAACAACTTTACGAATTTGAGAAAATAGGTGTTTCATAGATGATTATCCAATAAATATTACATGGGCGCACGGAGATACGGATTTTATCTTAGTGTATTGAAAAAGTGAGAGATTTTCAACGAGAGAAGATAAAATTCATATCTCCGCACGCCCATGTAATATCCTCTATGTATTTCATGTTACGAGTTCTCCAAATGTGTACACAGAATGATGATGAATGAGGTTTGCTGACTTACTAGGTAGTAGTAGCACATACCACATTTGCGCATTACAAGTTAATGTATTTTTTTTACAGATACTATTTACAACTGGAAGACAAGAAGAAAACCCGCTTTGCATGTGTACAAACACCAGAACCAAATTCTTGGATGGCTGAGGTGATAAATATCATGATTATAACTTTTAAATTAGGAGGGGGCTACTACCAACCCAACTTAGGTAGGGGTGTTATTCCACAAAACCCTCAACCTCAAAACTCTGACCCTATCCCAGAACTAAAATTTTGATTTGTCGCACCTTACCCCAGACTAAACCTAAAATTTGCACACCCTACTTTGCTAACTTTTAAACGGAATTTACATTGTTTTTGTGCCAACTGAAACCCTAACTTATTCCAGACTAAAACTGAGAAAAATCTGCCCCTATCCAGACAAAACCCATACCCTATCCTAGACAATGTCGAAAAGGGATACCCTAACCCAGATATAAAAGCTGAAAAACCATACTCTATAGGGCGCCACATACACGTAGCAAATGTAGGGGAGTACGCCCTCCCCACCAGGTACGTACCATGCAAACTACAAGATACCAAAAGATATTTAATGCCGCTTTCCATTTATCAGAACTCAACCGGAATTCCATCATTTAATCGTTCCTATTCAGTCAAAAATCAATTTCTAAATAATATAGGGAGTGTCCAGAACTAAATGTCAGGCAATCGATTTTTTTTTGGAAAACCGTTGGAACAGCCGTAATTTCAATTAATAGAACAAGAGAAATGGAATAAAGACCAAAATAATACTGTTCGATAAGGTTGTATACACAAGCACGGCACTTTGAGATTTTTGCAGTTGCCTGACGTTTAGACCCAGAACTTAACGTCAGACAGAAAAACCTCTGCCCTCTCGACGGTGAATGCAAAACAAAAAGCATTGTTTATCAAGCTAACCTCATACCAGCGTCAGGCGATACAAAAATCTACATTGGTAGGACCGATATGGAGTTCAAAACGAGATACAACGCGCACAAGTCATCTTTCAACAACCAAAGATTGTCCAACAAAACCACGCTAAGCAAACATGTAMGCAACAGCATCGAATTCCAAATAAAATGTAAAGTCATCAAGCACGCTAAATCATACAATGGAAATCCTCAAGGTGCAACCTGTGTCTAGCCGCAAAAATGTGCATTCTAATGGAAGTTCAAAGGCATTTTAAAATAGAACAATAAACTTAAGAACACCCGACCTTTTAAGCTTGTDGGGGGATGGCTCGTGGGGGGAAGGTTTACAATGCCTCGTCATATTTTTTATTTTTATTGTTAATCAGAYGTAAACATTTCGAGCGAGCTCGATCATATCAGTTAAATTTACCGAYTAGATAGTGGCACGGTGAAAGTAATACGAAGTTAGTGCAAGTCTATGGACGTTATGTTAGGGTAAATAGGATTTCAGTGATAATACAAAATACGGTTCCCGTAATGCGAACGATCTAAAAAGTACAATGTCCTGGAAGGTTTTCATTCAAATCGAGAGTTCGATGGGCCTGAGATGAATAGCTCACACTTGTTTGAGATAAGCTATTTTCATACTTTGACTGAAATTTRCATTGTAAATTGCCTGATGAGTGTGGGTCATACCACACGAAACAGGTCTGTARCAATAAATCAATATTCAAAGCGTTTAGCTCAGTATWTTATGTATAAATTAAGTTGAGCACTATGAAAAATTATTCTTCAATATTAAGTTTGTGTGTATATATATATACATACCCATTTAATAAGTACCGAGGTTTTGTGTTCTCCGCACTTGACGTCAAATTTATTCTTTTGAATTCCTTTTGTATTGTAAAAATTTCAAAAGAATATATTTGACGTCAAGTGCGGAGAGCACAAAACCTCGGTACTTATTAAAAGGGTGTATATATATCAATTGCCAGACATTTAGTTCTTGGGCTAAACGTCAGGCTGCCTGACGTTTAGACACTCCACTCCGAATGGCAAACACTTGGAAAATTATGGAAAAATCATGACCAAATGCATTATTTACTTCTAAATAGACTTGGTCTGTCCGGCCAGTCCTGACTGCAGCTTTAAATGGAGAGCGCCCTAAGTATTGAAATTGGAAGTGTTTTTTTTTTCAAGGTTGAAAAGTTTGGCCATGCAACACGGTATGCTAGTAAACAATCAACAATTGAAATGTAAGCTGTGTTTTAAATTATCATTGATGAAATGTAGTTTTCAATTTCTGACAATGGATAAATGTGCTAATTGTCAGATTGGAAGAGTTACTGACATGTGGCCTACGGACTAAAGGTGGCCTCACAAATAAGGTATGGTAATAGAGTGATAGTGCCTACTCAATAACATAAAAACAGGTCTAGATCATCACCAAATTTGGCGCAGATGTTGGTTTTGATGTAATCCCACATTAGACAGGTAACTAAGAAATGTGGTAAGACAATGGGGCAAATTAGAGCAACGTAAAATTTGAGTAAAATTTGATTCATTACAATGCCTTGTATCTTAATATTTCCATTCTTTTTGATGTCAACCTGCATGAATACAAACTATGTTTTACAATAAAATTGATTCTAAAATTTGGATTAGCCATATTACATTCGGTCAGACCCAATTACAGCCTGCACTTTTGCCTTTAACCAAGATTTAAGTGCACGTCCTCATGTAATTTTCAAGCCATCGTGAAATAWAGGAATTCTTTCAAGGTTCTCGAGCATTGACTTCTACTGGATGGCAAAGGAGTGTACTCTGGAGTATGAGTTAGTTGATTCCAAAAGAGTCTTTGTGGCATCGGTAGACTGCTTACATTTTCAACACTTGGTCATGACCTTAAAAAGTGACCCTTGGCTCACCCAGTTAATAGACTATTCAGGCGCGCAGCGTGGACGTTTTGGCTGGTACGATCACGTCAGGGACCGCGACACATCTTTTGGATTGGGGGGCTAACGACCACCGAAGGCGGGAGTATTTTAAAAGGGGGTCTCCCTCTGGGAATTTTTTTAAATAATAAGTCTTGGAATTGCGATTCACAGCGTTTTGAGGGGCATCGAGAGCATATAAAAGGCATCAAATCTCGAAAATTTTAATATTTCCTTGCCACTAGGGTACGCACGTGCATATTTGCGTAAAGGACGCTACGCGGCTGCTATTGTAACCCCCTCTCTCCCCCTATGTGAACTCAAGCATCTTGCAAGAAGCCCCTACACTATCATTCCAAGCTTAATAAGAGCATTTCTCCCAACTTTGGTGAGTTTCCAATTGTAATAATACTACATTCCTGTATCTGGTCTAATTTATCCTCCCACTTAAGCTTCCTTGTGAACATATATTTCAGGCGGAAACRGAGGATCCTTGACATCCTTGGGGCTAGCTTTGAAAGATCTGTGCTTGACAATAGTGGGATGAGTGGACGTTGATCGGTGTCCAATGTGAAATTGGTGCCGAGGTTTTAGTCGTTGAACTTTTAGCACGCCCATGTTGCTGCCAGTGCCTCCTTTTCAATGACCGCATAGCGCTTTTCGGTATCATTCACTGGAAAAAATCGCGCTGTAAATTTGATGTAAAAACGATGTAAATATCATGTAAGTAATATTTACATGATTTTGGACGATTAAATGAAGCAAGGCCGCCCCTAGTGGCTCGTTTATTTACCATGCCGTTGAATCTCTGGAGCCCTTTTTAACATTGTTGTGTCTTGGGAATTCTCGAATAGCCTTCTTCTTGTCGGGGTCTGCCTCCACGCCATTCTCCGATATCAAGTGTCAGAAGAGCTTCACCTTACGTTTCGAGAACTCGCACTTATYGTTCAACGTGATGCCTGGYTTTTGTGAGCAGTCTAGGACTTGTTGGACCCGGACATCATCCTATTCCTGATTTTGTCCATTAATTGAAATGAAGCAATGCCTCCCAAAGTGCGTCACAAACATTGTAAACAGATGTGACTCTGCTGCTAAGGGGATCTGCCAGAACCCCGAATTGGGGTCGAGCTTAGAGAACAGTTTACTGCCCCTGATTTTAGCTAGGTTTTCGTCTTGATGCCTTTGTTTAGATCCGTTAGGTCCACCCATATTCTTATATTGCCATTCTTTTTTGGATGGACGACCACGCCTGACCACCAGTCCRTAGGCTCAGTCACAGGTGAGTTGACCTTATACTTCACAATGTTCTCCAACTTCGTGAAGAGACAGACAGGGACCACGTCTTCTTTTGCGGAATGGTTTTTACCATAACTTGTAGAATTCTCGCGCGCTGATTGGTCAAGAGCCGTTGTCGATCCTAGGACAGACCGATGAAATGACTAATCGCTCGCGCACCGAGCCGGCGTGCGCTAGAAACGGTTTTATTTTGAAAGTTTTACTTTGTTTTCGKCTTTGTTATGGTAAAAAACAAATCGAAATCGCTTTTCTATGGTCTGTACGCTTATCAGACCACAGAAAAGCGATTTCGATTTGTTAAATAGCTTTCTTTCTAKTTCTTTGAAAAGTGCTGGGTACTCTGCTCGGAAATCTGGTACCTTATTGACATTGTGTACCCCTGGAGCATGGTTGAGCAACTGTAGGACTTGGATTGCCGACTTGGACAGCAGGTTGCTTGATTGGTTTGTCATGACGTACATATTTTCAACTCTTCCTGCCCACTTCGAGGGTCGCCTTTGTGATCTGGACTTTGAAGAGGATGTTGAGTTTCACTGGACCTCTGAACTCACTCTTTATGGGGTGTAGTCCCTTGATCCATGTAGTTCGGTTGCCTAAGACTGTGACTTCAGTCTCCATGTCACAGATGTGTTCGTTAATCTTCACGTCAGATGACCAGAATTTTTCACTTGTGCTGCTCACTTCCCCCATCATGTACGTGTTTTCGACATAGTCATTGTTGTTCCACTTCCGACCGGTTAGCTCAGTAGGTAGAGCWTCGGACTTTAGTGCAGGAGGTCGCAGGTTYAAACCCCGGCCGGACCAACACTCAGGGTCTTAAAATAATTGAGGAGAAGTTGCTGCCTATGTCTTTCTCCATCTRCAAATGGTAAGATCTTCGCGTCCTCTCGGATAATGACGTAAAATCGGAGGTCCCGTCTCTCTACACTTCACTCACTAACCTGTATTAGAGGGACGTTAAAGAACCCACACCACTGTTCGCATAAGAGTAGGGAATGATTCACGGTGTGTGTGACTAGGCCTTACTACTAGCCCATACTAATTACTAACCCCTCATGATTGTAAGCCGCGTGGCTGCCAATTGCGCCTTAAACAGCGTTTCAATAAATTTCACCAGGTTTGCCATTGGCCTCTCCCTCAACAATCGTTCACGGCTATTCTGAAAACCAAACTTTTTTGTGGTCACTATAGGTWCCGAATGTAGACCATTTGCAGCATTAATAACTAAGATATAGTGTGAACTAATGGCAGGGTTTCCTTAAAGTACAAAGTTTGAAAATGACAAAATTCATTGCAGCAGTTGTCAATCTGTTGAGCACTTGTTATGTATATTCATGTATATTCATGATATTATGATCGTATATTTACTTCAATTCAATTCCCAAAGGTTGATCTGTAAGAATAAATAGCTTTAGCACATTACTAATAAATTGCTTGTAGTTTGTCTGGAACGAAGAACTCCGTGTGATTCATTACAACTGGCGACGAGGATGCTGGAAATTTGAAGTCTACTATGGCTACATTTGGGAACTTGGAACCTTTTGAAGGAGGAGATTTTACTTCGTACAAAGAAAGATTGGAAGCTTTTTTCGTGGATTCAGTTGACGCTGTTGTTCAAGCTGCACAACAGAGGAAAGTTGCTGTTACAATTTCGCTGATATGAAAAAAAACATTGAAAGATTTATGTCTACTGGATTCACCTGCAGGAAAATCATACGACCAATTATGTGCTCTACTTAGTAATTACTACAAGCCAAAAGTGTCGGAGGTTGTAGAAACGTATTGTTTTCATCAAGCAATACAGAATGAGAGTGAAAGTGTTTTGGAATATGCAAACCGATTAAAGCATCTGGCCGTACACTGTAATTTTGGAACTTTTCTACTATACCACGCGCTTTAAGAGATCAATTTGTTGGAGGAGTGAGGAATCCTACTACAAAAACAAAGTTGTTATCTGAAGATAGAACTTTTGATCGAGCTGTTCAAATAGCTACTGCTGATGAAGCTGCTCAAAAGGAAGCCAAACTACTGCAAACTCATTCTGCAAATGTAAATTATACGAAAGGAAAGCAATTTCAAAAGAAGCCAAATGATAACAAAGGTAACAGCACTTTAAGGAATCTTACTTCTAATGAACAACAACGACAAACAAAAGGCAAAGAATGTTATCGTTGTGGGTCCCAAGAGCACCTCGCAAATAAATGCAGATTCATTAAAGCTACTTGTCATTACTGCCACAAGACGGGGCATTTACAAAAGATGTGTCAGAAGAAAAAACGAGAAGAACAAAAGGTTAGCCAGATTAATAAAGTGGATGTGCTTAACGAGGAATGTGATGCGGAGCAAACCGTGTTTATGCGCCAAGTGAATACACATGGTATTAATGGATCACAAGGAGCTGTACCTAATTATTCAATTAACGTCAATGTTGAAGGAAATTCCAATGGATATCGACACCGGAAGTGCAGTCACTCTTCTCAAGAAACAAGATTTTTTGAAACTACAGAATATAAGCATGTCTACATTGGAACGTCCAAGTTTGCTATTGAAGACACTGGAGACTTAATTACTTGTTATGGAGAAAAAAGCATCAAAATTAAAATCGGAGATCAAGAGACGTCACGATTCGTGTCGTTGATGGGCCTGGACTGTCGTTACTGGGGCGTGATCTTTTGGAAAAAATTACTCTACCGTTGAAAAGTATTTTCAAGGTTTCTATTTCTGTTGATGATGTATTGAATGATTATACTGATCTTTTTGATACTACACATGTTGGAAAGTTAGAAGGAGTTCAAGTGTCACTGCGCGTAAAGGATGACAATCCAATATTCATGAAAGCAAGAACGGTGCCATTTGCTAT